ATAAAACACATTGTTTTTACTTTTTTCATGATGTAATTATAATTCCTTTCTTTTATTTTTTTATTGTTTGACATAAGTTCCTTTCTTTTTACTAGATGAGTGAAGATGTGCAACCTTGAATCATGTTCATATGCATAGCACCTAAATTAAGCAAGATTTCTTAATGAATCTTAAGCTATTGAAATGTATAATGGTTGAGATTTAAATAACTTTTTAAATCCTTACTTATATCATGCTTATATATATGGCTTTAATATGCCCGGAATCAATTGGTAAAAGAAGTTACAAGAAAAGTAATGTACATATACATATATGCATTATTCATCTTTAGGGTTTGAATTTGACATTTCTCGCATATTAAAATGATATGATTGTCTTTTCTTTTAGGGTTAATTCCACTAGGAAGTCCAAAATATCCTAAAAGTATCATTTGTGTCATAAAACTATTCAATATGACAAATCTGGCACAAACTATGTGCGTTTTGTGACATTTATGTCCTAAACTATTCAATTATGACAAATCTGGCACAAAACCACATAGAGGTTGACTAGATTTTTTGTTAAATACTAACGGTCAACGCCGGTCAACATTATAGAAAAATATCTCGTGTCAAATTTGTCAAATTGAATAGTTTAGGACATAAATGACACGTTTTGAATAGTTTGGGCTTCCTAGTGGAATTCACCCTTTCTTTTATGCTATTCCAATTTCTTTCTGTTTTCATTTTTCGTACGTCATTCAATTGACATAAGTTCCTTTCTTTTTCCTACATGAGTGAAGATGTGCAACCTTGAGTCATGTTCATATGCATCGCACATAAATTAAGCAATATTTCTAAACGAATATTAAGTTATTGGATATATATATATAATGGTTGAGGTGTAAATAACTTTTTTAATCCTTACTTATATAAAATGTGACACCCTAATACATATATTACTATTACTACTTTTAGTAACCACTTATACTTGCTGGATAACCCGACTCATAAGATAATGATCTAATTCTTCGTTAAATCCGTTACCTTTAAGAGTATAGCTCGAAAGGACTTATTGTCCCTCCCAGTGAACATGGCAGAACGTGGAGTATACAGTTTCTCGTCACACACCTCTCATCCCTTACTAGCTTAACTTAAATGTCAAGATACATCCGATATGGTATATATATGTGGTGGCTTCTACGATACCTCGAGTGAAATCCGGTGCACCGCATACCTTGAGTATAAAAACGCTATCTAAACCTCAAATTAATAGGATTTTTGGGCTTGATACTGCACCCTAATCCTTAACGAGTGAACCCTAGATCCTAATTATCTAAATCATAAACTATTCATTTTGCCTATATTTGGACGAATAATAACCATCGATTATTGTTTCAATTAAATTGATCTTTGGGTATAAGATTTAGAGAATTAAGACCTAGATTTTGATCTTTAATGGTTAGAGTATAGTATCATATCCAAAAGATAGGTCAATTCAAGATCTGAATAACGTTTTCATACTCAAGGTATGCGCTACCCTGAATTTCACCCTGTGTACTATATATATATGTGGTGGCGTCTTCGGTGCACTCACTTTTTTGGGTGAATTCAGTGCACTCACTTCATAACCGTCATTTTAAACATGCGATTTATGTCAAAATGATGTCATTCATCACTTATGACGTGGTGAACAATAACACACATGATATGAATTTGCACAAAAACCATTGAAGATTTACTTTAATTTGTAAGATTTAGAGTTTAGAGATTTAGGGTTAGGGTTTACAGTTTGGGGTTTAGGGATAGAACTCAAAATTGGAGGTCTAGGGCTTAGGGTAATCCACTAATTAGTTGTTATCATATGTTATATCATCATATTACACTAATTCTACAAATTAAAATTCAAAATCCGACACCTTAAGACTAGTTTTTGAGTTGGGTGCATTGAACGCACTCATTTTTGTGGGTGCACCGAAGTAATCACCATATATATATGGTGACGTATTCGGTGCACTCAGTACACCCGCCTCATAATTGTCATTCTGAGCATGCGATTCATGTCAAAATCGTATAAATTGTTGCTTATGATATTATGAACAATAAGCACATGAATTTGAAAAAAATCATTCAAAATTTACTTTAATTCGAAGGATTTGGGATTTAGGGATTTAGGGTTAGAGTTTAGGTTTACAATTTGGGATTTTGGGTTGGGATTCAAAATTGAAGGTTAAGGGGTTAGGGTAATAGATTGATTTGTTATGATTCTATGTCATATCATCGTATTAGATTGAGAGTACTAATTAAAGTTCAAAATTTGATGTATTATGGACACTTTTAGAGTTGGGTGCACTCAAGTGAGTGCGCCGAAGTAGCCACACACACATATATATGTATTCAGTAGTTCACATTAATATACTTCATCCACAAATTACGGCCATATAAGCCTTTACCATACCATATGCCATTCAATCACACAATCACACAATCATACATCCGTTCCATAAACATGTCCAAACCATCATCACACATCCATTCATCTCATTCCATTCCATAGTCTCATACACCATCACATAATCATCACGACATATAATATTTCATTCAGGCAAACATACATTCATTTATCACCACATGCCATATCACATTCATCGTCTCAAATTCAAAGACATCATACATTCACAACATAAGTACCATAACCCAGTCTCTTGATAACTCATTGTATAAACACGCACGCATCAAGTATCTCATCATACTGGCATCACCATGTAACCTCATCCCAACACAGGGAAACATCACACCATCACATGGTAAATCATTGTGTAAAACACCATAGAAAACCATCATATAACTATTATCATAGGAAGTCATCACTTAAATACATCATAAATAATCATTATACAATGTATCAATCACATGCATGACTAGGTTGATTCAGCACTTTTTACTTCTTAATTTTCCAAGTGATACGCTCTCCGGGTAGTAAAGTAGATGTCGTGTATACCACCACAGATCGTACCTAGACGGGTGTCATGTAAATCCATTACGTGATCATACCCTGACCAATAGCCTGTATACTAGCGCGGAACGTACCAGACTTGTGTCCTATAAAACCAACGTGGGATCATACCGTGACCGATGTCTTGTAAATCCATCTACTGTACTTATTGCACAATCGGGCGCCTTTACGTTTGTATTAAGTTATCACACAATTTCAGTGTCAGTTAGTCACACATTTAATATTGGATGATAATATGAAGCGAAGACAAAGTGTCACTATAACTAGCATTTTGTTTTGGGTTAATACCTTATTTTGGCCCGAACTATGACCATATAATCAACTTTGGCGCGTGGTTTCAGAAATTAACATCCTGACCTCAACTATGCAGCATATAGACTCAATTGGTCTGACACATGGTTTGACCGTCAAATTGGATGGTCAACACCGTTGACCGTTAGTCAACATGCCATATCATTGCCTCGTCAGCCTAAAAATTATTAAAAAAATCCAATTCAAATTATTTTCCTAATTTCTATTATTGAGTACGTACAAACGGTGAAGTAAGATGAATCTATAGTGAACCAAAGGCGAAGGGCGCAGTAACACATGCCCAACAGTTTGATTGAGAACTAGCACAAGTACAGCAGATTCAGCTTTTATGATATACTTTCTCCACATTTTTGACAACCACGTCAGTGACCAAGGAAGAAAACCATGGGATGGGACAGACCCCTTCCCACTTGTTTACAATCAATGAAATTCTGGGTCATCTTACGATGAATGGCATCAAAGCGATGCTCCGCTTCAATACACGTTATATACACTCTTGCAATAAAATAGTACACACATTAATACAACAGCCACAATTGTTCCCTCATTTCACCTTATGGCATACCTGGCTGGCCTTTTCATAGCAGAATCCGGTGCTCTAGAAGGTCGGACAAAACGCTCCTCATCTTATCAACAGAAACGGGTTTTAGCACAACCCCATTCATGCCAACTCTCCGGCACTGATCCTTGGTCGCTTTATCCGAGTTAGCAGTCAGGGCCACCGTTAGAGGCCTCTCGTGGCGCTTTGTGAGCTTCTCGTGTACACGACGAGCAACTTCGTAGCCATCATGCATACATACATCTATGAATAACACATGGTGATCCTGAGAGATCAACCGCAATCACTCATCACCTGAACTCACACCTGTTACATCGCATCCCAGGTGCACCAGAAGTCCTTTAGTTACCATTCTGCACACACTGCAAGTTTACAGATTCTAGTGTTATTTGTAGGGTCGGTGAACGAAAGGTGAAATGAAGCTGGGAAAAGAACATTACATAAAAACAGAGTTGAAGGATGTTTCTTTGATATCACATATTGCAAATCAAATAATCAATTAAGCATTTGTTAAGTTTACGGTGTAGAAAAGGTATTATGGTACAAAATAATCCACGAGAAGAATAAATCCAACCCAAGGTCTGCCCAAGATAATTCCTCATATACTGCCTTCAAATATTTAGGGGCAAACTTGATTTTCTATGAGTCAACCATCACTGCATTGGAGCTTTAAAATATAGAAAGGGCCATGAGTCCTACACAACCTACCCTCACTTTGAATCGTCTTGGAAATCCTGTGGTGAACGTAACAATCTTTTGCAAGTATCGTCTCCAGCTAGTTGGTGGAATTAGTAGGTACGACCTAAATTAAGATTTAGTGCACAATGATACTATGAGGCTTGCCTAAATTGACTTCAGTTAGCAGTTAGCACACGTGATTTCTGAAAATATGAGTCCTAACAAGCCCCGGAATTCCTTCAGGTTACTGAGGTTCCAGGAGACTTTCAGCTATGTCCTTTTCTCCAGGCATTTTTCTTCATTTTTATATCAAATTAGGAACTCAAAATGTAAATAGTCATTAAACAAATCTTAGCTAACGCTACGCCCTACTTCCACTCTACCAAGCTTGTGAATAGGTCAATGTATGATATCCAAATATAACAAAGATGATGGCCATACAAGCTTTTTGTATCACTTACCTGTTGTCATCCATCACTATAACTTTGAGTCCAGGAAAGTCGGTTCGTGCATGGTTCATTCCTGCTTTAGTAGAAGCAGGAAGCTTAGACTCGGTACAGCACTCTGCAATCCCAAGTTTGACCATAAAGATTGCAGTGCAGCCTTTACCCAGGCCCTCACTTTCCAGCCATATATGTCCATCCATAAGATTTACAAACCTGATCAAAAGCAAGTGAAGGGGGTGAACACCTCAACAGCATCCATGATCATTTCCAAATGCCCAACAGAATGATAATAAATATGGCAACCAGAGTCCATCGTATGGTGCATAAATAGAAGAAAGAAGTCTAGTTACAATGCTTACTGCCAGAAACTACAGCAAAAGCTATGTACGACTGAAAAGAAACACTCTACCTCTTACAAATTGCAAGGCCAAGTCCACTACCACCAGAATTTTTGGTTGCCAAAGACTGACTTTGAGCAAATTTGGTGAACAGCTTAGGATAATCTTGAGGATTTATTCCCGAACCTGTATCTTTTACCTGCAACAGGATAAACAACAGGTTAACAAAAACATAGTCATAAACTAGAGTAGTCTCATAGCATGATTTGTATTGAGGTTGAAAGTAGCCAACCTGTACACGCAAATAAAAGTGATTATCACTAGGTACTGGAAAGAAATCAGGAACTCTAGGATCTCTTAAAGACTCTGCCTTTGCAACAAAAGCAGTGATTGAGATACTCCCTTCTTTTGAGAACTTGACCGCGTTACCAACAACATTAAGGAGAGTTTGCATTAGGCGGTTTTCATCGCCAATGGCATATTCAGGTAGATCGGGAGCCAAATGCAAGGTAACTAGAAATTTCTTAACCGAAGCAATATGCCTAATCAAGTTGATAACCTGTGACAGAAAACAAGAACATTACTCTTAAGCTCACATGAAGCAGATAATACTTGCTATAGTACATTGTCAGTCTGGTGTCTAGAAGCCAATATGAATAACGGAGAGAAGTATTATGTAAACCTGCCTCTCTGAAAACAGCAGCAAGATTAAAACTTCCAAGGTCAAGCGAAGGCTTCCATCTTCAAGCCTCGATAGATCTAGCACATCATTTATTAGAGTAGCCAAAAGATTACTACTCTTCAAAATTGTCTCAACCATAAGCCGCTGCTCTGGTGTCAGCTCGGTTTCCTGTAACAAGGAGGAAAGTGCTATAATAACATGCATTGGAGTTCTCATCTCATGGTTCATCACAACCAATAAATCATTGCGGGCACGGATAGCTGACTCACTCCTACTGTCACTCTAGAAATTGGCCAAGTGTAACCACTTCCTAAAGCGTAGCATAGCGGGTTTGCGTTTTAATGTCAATCCGGGTCCTAGATTTGATGACTACTCGGTGAATTCTTGTTATCTAGCAGTGAAACTTTAGTGCAAGTCCAAATTAACAAACAAACAAAGCAAGTTAAACGGTTGTTTTCAAGTCGAGAGAGGTCACCCGGATATGGTTCCCCCTAGACTGCAGTTAAGTCGGATTGCAATTTACCAAGTTCAGTTTTCATGAAAGTTATACTGCAGAAGGTTCTTAAACAGTCTGAAGTCTCGACTAAAGGTCTCCAGACCTCTCAATCTGAGTCTCCAGCGGGCGACTAACCTCCACCGGAGTAAACAGATTGAGGCCCTAACGAACCAAACCTCCACTACCAAAGTAAATTCGGTACAGAATAGCGAATTGGCTCATCGACTAAAGTCGTCAATTCACTACCTTCAATTAAGGGTGCTCTATCAACCTAGGCAGATATTCTCATTCTAGGTTAAAGCAGAAACAACAGGAATTTGATCAGGATTCAAGTCATTCAATCATTCAAGCCTCAATAGAATATAATCAAATCATAAAATCTGTACTTGGGTTCATACAATCAGACCTAACATACAAATCTAGGGTTCTCCATACCCAGATGAATGGGAAAACTACTCCATGGAGAGAGAAGCAAAAGCAGATTCAGATACGGAAATCATACTGTGAAGAATGAGTTTCTGCTCCTGGTCGTCGATCGGCACTTCACCAAGCTCAAGCCGGGCTCCAATGGTGATGAAGATCAAGCTATGGCACTTGGGAACTCTGGTTCGTCGCTTTGTCTCTCTACGAATCGCTCTGTCTCTCTAAAACTCGGAACCCTTGATTTTTGGCCTTCTTTTCCTTTAAAACTGCTGATGATCGTGATAACTGTCGTGTATTTTGGGTCTCGACCGGGTATAATTGAAACGCGCCGTTTTGCCTTAGGGGAAATCCCCGGTCATAGCCAATAATCCCCGACCGGGGATTTTCGCCTCTTACCCGGGCCCTCTTCTATTTCTCACGGACGCCAAAGCCTCAAATCCCCGGTCATGGACAGATAATACCCAACCAGGTATTTCTGCCCATGGCCGGGTATTTTTGCTCTCCAGCACACTTCAAACCTCACTTGCTCCTTTCGACCCGAATCTTGTTCCTTCGCCTCGATTCCAACCCAGGGTCCTGAAATATGACATAAACGCACAACCTAGCGTGAAATCGGCTTAAAACACGAGAATCAACATCTCAAACGGCTCAAGAACCGGGGTAAAAACATGTGCAATTATCGGTCTATCAAACTCCCCCACACTTAACCGTTTGCTTGTCCTCAAGCAAACCTAACTCAAACCAATGCAACTCTCCAGACCTCTACAGCAACCAACAACCCCGATCATAGGTAGAGGATTTCCTAGATCATTTAGCAGCTTACGAGGTCAACCGACGCACAAGTCATCTCATAGCTTCTTCGGCGAGAGCGCTAGTCTCGAGTCGGCATCATGGCAAATAGTGAACAGAGGACAAATGAATCGTGGACGAATGGACTCTAAAAAACAAAAGATCATGGACTCACCTTTTGAAGGTGCTCTATTTTCTTCTTGAAGATGGTTGGAACCCCCTTTTCTTTCTTTTTTTGCTTGTTTTTCTGTTTTTTTTTCCAAGGATTCCAACCTGTTTTTCAGAAAATGGGGGCTCCCACCTAGCAGAGGTTTTGCGGGAGCCCGGCTCTTACCGGCCATGCCAGGAGCGGATGTCTCGAGCCTCGTGCGGGGGAAAGACATGTAAGGGGGCTGGAGGTAGTAGGTGGAAATTGGGAACGGATTCCCGCTCCCCTTACACACTTTCGCCCTATTCGCACGGGAGACGTTATTTTAAAGCACATTTTCGAGCACCTTTTATTTCCAAAACATGATACAAGAGTCCATGACAGGTAGAGGGTCCACAACACCACACAATTCAAGGGTCCTAAGATCACTAATTCACTCAATCAACCAACACAATATGAAAAAGAAATGAGACTTCTTAAATGCATCAACATCCTCCATAGTGCTACACTACCTCCCTAGGTTGCACATTACTAAAGAGACTGTCAATTCAAAGCATACTGAGCAAGCAATTGCAAGGAACACGTACTTGGAGCCCTCAAATTTAAATTTTTTTGGACAGTGGACTAGGTTCCAAGCACACAAACAGATCTAATGCAGTCGAAAGATAAACATCCCCCCCACACTTAAGATCGACATTGCCCTCAATGGAGAAGAGGGAAGGAAAGGGGAACGATGTTACCGGTGTGCACGGACTGCAGGAGATTGGAAGTGGACCAGTCGGAATGAAGCGGACTGGAGAGAGGACCAGTCAGGCATAAGCACAACTAAAGGAAACCAAAGAGCTCAAACACAATACGTTAGGTCCAATGGTCAGCCCAATAGTACAACATCCAAAATAAAAAAGAAAGAAACTAAACCAACACAAGACAGTTTGCATGCTGACAAAAACAAAAACACTCAAAACATGCCACTAGGGCCCTCCTAGACCGGTGAAGTCGATCTGGTTCATAAGGTCGTCGTCTCCATCCTCCGGTGGTGGTGGTGGTGGCGAATGAGCCCATCGGGTGGTCCAGTGGTGCTCCTCTGGTGGGTGACAAGCCTGGAGCAGTGTGCTCCGAGTACTCCATCAATCGGCCGCATCGATCTCTCTCCCGCTCGATGAGAGCACTAGTGACTCCCATATGGGTCTCTAAGCGGCCGAGGCGCTCATCAACAACCGTCAGCCTGGACTGGTACTCGGCCTGGTGGGCCGAATACTGCTGGTAGAACTGGACCTGATGGGCCATGAGCTGCTGGTTCTGAAGACCGAGCTGCTGGAACTGGAGCCCCATCTGCTGGAACTGCTCCGTGAAGAAGTCCATTGACGGGCCCGAAGCCATCGACGGACCAGAAGGACCAGAGGAAGACTCGCCTCTCTCTGATCTCCATCGTGGCTGAAGGTCCCCTGGTGGAGAGAGCGGGGGCTCCGGCTCATCGGCATCCATGGCCCCGCCATCATCATCCTCCTCCTCCTCCTCCTCACTGGAGTAGTCAGCGTCCTCCTCGTCTTCATCGAGATCCACATCCTCCTCAGGAGGCATGGAAAGCCCATCTACCCAGGTGCGGGTGCCATCAGTGGCCACGAGGAGTGCGTTGTGGAGCACTTCCCGGCTGAGGGGGCTGGAGCCGCCCAGGGCAGAAGAATCATGGAGTCCCAGGAAGCTGATGTCGAAATGGCGCGCCAACCGGGTGATCAGGGGACCACAGTAGAGATGGTTGGGCTTCCCTTGGCACCGGGAGAAGGTGGTGGCCACGAAAGAACCCAAGTGGAGCATGTGTTCCGGGCGCCCCATCGAGTACATGGCATAGAGTACCCGCTTCTGAATCTTGTGCGAGCCGGTGACGTTGGGGACGATGGAGCGAGTGATGAGCAGGTTCAGGATGTGCCACTGCGGCTTGAGGGTGTGGACGTACGTCTGGCCAGGGTCAAAGCAATCATGCCAATAGGTCTCCCTGGCTATCTGGTGGTAGAACCCGTCCTGGTGCCAGTCGGTCGGGTTCGGGAACTCGATCTCGTGGCGGTCGAACGGGTGGTACTCAATCCCCAAGGCGTAAACCAACCCGTCAATGGTCAGATCCCGAGGGTAGCCACCTAGCCCGAATGTCACTGCATAGGAGTCCCGGGCCGCTTTGTTGTCGTACTTGAAAGTGGTGTAGAATTCCCACACCAGCTTAGTGTAGGTGGGCTCCTCTATGGCCAGCAGCGTCCGCCAATCGCGGTGGCTGATGACAGCGGTGAGCTCCTGTATGCAGTGGAGCTGCTCGAACACTGCCCACTCCAGATGGTGGTGGCGCTCCAATTTCCCCCGAATCACCGCGCGGAACTGGTCCGCGTAATCCGGGTGCAGGCGCAGGCCCTGCACAAACGGATGGTCGAGGGACATGCTCCTGCAAAATCAACAAACCAAAGGTGGAGCCAAGAAAAAAAACTTGTCAGGACCAACAGCATGGGTTCATCACTTCCCCCACACTTAAGGACCACCTAGGCTAACAGTTTTAAGCACAGCCGGTTGAATCGCAAGCAAATCAACCGGAATCAAGGCAAGAACCACAGAACCAACCACATTAAGTACACGGGCAGCACATACACCATATATAGAACCATGCATACTCAAAGCATCTCTCACCCTACTCTAAATCATGCATGCAAATACAGTTCTCGGTCCTACAATCTACAGTTCGATTTTCCAGGAAGAGAGCAGTTAACAAGAAACACACCTGAAAACTCAAGTAGAACTGTATCGAAGGCTCTAAAAATGGGTGAGGGACGCGAGACGGAGGCCAAAAATGACCCGGGACCATCGTCGGAAAGTCGCCGGAAGGTCGCCGGAAAACGACCGGCGGCGAGGGGCGGCGGCGGCGGCGGCTGGCGGCACTCAAGAAGAGAGAGGGGAGAGGATTTGGGAGGAAGAGAGAGAGGAAAATTTTGAAAAATGAGGGTAGAGAGAGAAACTGACCGGGGGTTTGCTATAAATAGCAAAAATCCCTGGTCGGGGCTCAAAAATACCCGGTCGGGTATTTTTGATTCCACGATCGGGGGTTCGAAAACGCGGCGTGTCGAGTGCAAGAAAAACACCGGCCTCGAGCCAAAAATACCCGGTCAGGTATTTTTGGGTCAAGGTCGGGGGTTTTTGAGACGCTGCGTTCCAGTCCTGGAAAATCCCCGGCCTTGAACCAAAAATACCCGGTCGGGGGTTCTCCTTTTTTCACCCCGAGAAGAAGAAGGGGTCCCGATCGTGGGC